AAACGAGAATCCCTCTTCGAATTTGAAACATCGCTTGCGCACGCGAAGATGGCGGGGTTGCGACGGGACAAAAAATAGCAACTTTCGAAACAGCAGCTCTCCCCCATTAAAAAAAAAAAAGAAAAGATAAGAAATCAGTGTGGAGGCTCTGTATGAAAGACCTGTCAATAGTAGTTCCCAAGAGAGGATACGAAGTATATACACTATATTTAGTATACGGGGACGATGGCGGGCTAAAGTAGATGCCTCACACGTTCAAACCCCCCCCCCCCCCCCCCCCCCCTCCGTTTCGGCTTTTTATTGTCTCACCCCTTTTCCTAAAAAAAAAAAAAAAAATTGTAGCGTTATTCTTTTTCTAAGCTGCGCGTGCTGATGTAATCGCTCCTTGAATAGAAAGGCCGAGAAGAAGGCGCAATATAAAACTGCAGTACCAAAGGCAGGAGGCGGGCGGCGCATGAACGGCGGCGACCGACCGACGACGAACCGGGGACTTTCTCAACCTTGCCGCTCCCATCGGGGTCGCGACCATAATACCACCTATAGAAGGCAAGGCCTGCGCACCTTTTCCCCTTCAAACGTCGTCACTAGGTGGATTCCCGCAGAGCCACTACCTTGCGTCAGCATCTCCGCGAGTGCGTCTTGCAATGCCTCCCCAACGCCTTGCGCTTTGTGGTGGCCCTGGGCGAGCGTCAGCGTGTTTGCCGCTTGGGGAGAGGGGGGTCGGGGTCCACTAACGATGACGTCACTCGGGGGCCTTGCCATCCGGATGGTATTGCCACACGACTCCCCTCTGATCAACTGGGGGGACAGGCATATATGGCACGGTCACAACTCGCAGAGCAGCAGGCAGGGATGCCGCGAGCCTGCCCAGGTTCGAGTCCGTCCAGGTTCGACGAAACGTCGACTTTTGTGCGCATGCGCTCGAACATTTCAAAACACGCTGAAGCCACCTTGCAAGGGAAGGTGAGACATTTATTGGGTATATACAGCTTTATAAGATTAAACTATAGCTAAAGCTAAAGTCGCACCTTTTTATACGTCACACATATATATATATAAATATGTGTATATTTCTACGGTCGGCGGCTAGTCGGTGCGGTAAAACTGCATTGAAAAACCCGCATGCGTGTTGATCGCAATATATGCGCAAGCGAGAGCAAGTCTAAAAAAATTACCGCATCTTCACGTGGTGAATGATGTTGATTGGGGCGAAAGTGGTGCTGATACGC